AGTATTAAGACCTCCCAGGGCAGAAGCAATAGATCTCTGCATGAGAGTGAGTATGGGAATGACCAGAGTGATCAAGAATGAAAGGGCTGAGTTGAGAGTGAGACTTTGTGGTTCCGACTGGAACCATGGGTAAACACTGCACATTTCATGCTATCGTTTCTGAGGCGAGTGATAACACGATTTTTTTTTTTTTTTTTTGTCTTTTTCGTTTTTATTGGTACTAGGGATCGAACTCACGACTGCCTGCTTATGCCGCTGAGCTAAATCCCCAGCCCCGATAACACTATTTTTAGTCCAGAGAACAATGTATGGGCTCTATCGGGGCTACCAAACAGAATAAAGAAAAAATTTGTTAAAAAGTGACACTGAGGAAATCAGCCCAAGTTATGAGGGCTACCAGCACTGTTTAGGTTGTGAAAGGCCTTTAGTCTGGGGTGGAAAAGGGAATGGTTGGCCACTAGGTAAAACTCAAAACTTGAGATCTACTTGCTTTTCTTTTCCTCTTAGCTGCACAGCAGCTTGTTCATGAATAGATTCTCCCCTTCCAATGTTCTGTCTGTTATTATTGTTTTCAGTCAATATCTGGTTTAGCAAAGAGATCAGATAGTGCTGTGCAAAAAACTGACTAAGGTATCTATCCTGTCAGTAAACTAGAATCTAGTAACTAGGTTAAAAGTCTCAGTTCCATAGCCAGTCGGAAATGGAATCAGCCAGCACTCAAAAGGTTACTCAGATGTGTCCAGCTTCCTTGCAGCATTATATAATACAGTTCAGTCTAGAGCTTCTCTGAATTCTGTTTCCTCTTGTGTACAAATACTTTCCTTAATAATATCTAGTTACAGTGGTTGTGAAGATTAAATGACAGGGGCTGAGGATTTAGCTCAGCGGCATAAGCGCCTGCCTTGCAAGCAGGCAGTCATGAGTTCAATCCCTGGTACCAATAAAAACAAAAAAGACAAAAAAAAAAAAAATTAAATGACATATGAAACCTCTAATACAGCACCAGGCAAAAACTGGCTCTATGGCGGCATATAGCAGATGCTTAAATGAGCATCTCTCTATATATGGAATGGGCTAAATTGTGTTCCCCAGCAATTCATTTAATGAAGTTCTAACCTCCACCTCTTCCCAGTACCTAGAATGACTGTAATGTATTTGGAAATAGAGTTGCCCAAAATTAATTCTTTGAAGAGTATTTAGGTTAAAATGAGGTCACCCTAATCCAATATGACCGATGTCTTTATAAAAAGAGGGCATCAGATAGTACAGAGGAAGGACCTGACGACACAGAGAGAAGCCTTCTACAAGTGAAGGAGAGAAACCTCAGTCGAAACCAACCCTGCCAATACCTTGATCTTAGATTCTAGTCTCCAGAACTTTGAGAAAATGAATTTCTGTTGCTTAAACCATGCATTCTGTGGTACTTTGCTATGACAGCCATAGTAAACTAATACGACACACACACATTGCACCTTTCACCTGCTGGGCCAAGGTTCTGTGGTTCTGTTGAGGACAAAATGCCTCTCGTTCCATCGTCTTCAACTGCAAGTCCTGACTGAAAGCTGTAAGGATGCTGGGCCTGCTGGGCTGACCTTGGAGAGGGGCTGCTCCCTCGGCTCTTGGCTGCTGAGGTTACCACACACAGGTGCTCCTTCTGGAACCAGGGAGAGGATGCGCCCTCCCTGCACGCGCGCGTCTATGTGTGTGTAGGGAGGTTGGGGTGAGTGGCGTTGGATGAAGGAATGAAGGAGGACCTCTATGTTTGAGGGACTCTAGTGCTCTCTGTCCTAGAAGACAGGAGATGGGAAGAAATAATCCGGTGTGGGAGGAGACAGAGAGGTAAACCTTAGGGCACTCTGCAAGGACAGAAGTGGAGAACCTGTCCACAGATCCCAGATCTTTTGAGACTCGCTGCGCACCAAAACACCCCGAAGGTTACCGCTCGCGACCCCAAGCCTTTGCCCAGAAGGCCGCCTCGGGCCGAAAGGACCGAGAGGGCCGGCGGGCGCGCGCCCGACACGTCCTCGGGCACTGCCCCTCCAGGCGCGCGCCCGGCCCCGCCACACCCGCCCCTGCCCCGGCCGGGCTCGGAGGACCCCGCGCCCGGGGCCGCGCACGCCCCTCCGCCCGCCGGGACCCCGGGCCGCGCGCGCCCGGCGCCCCCTCCCGGCCCGGAAGGCGCGCGCTGCTCCGCTCCCGCTCCCGCTCCCGCTGGCAGCCGTGGCGGCGGCGGCGGCGATTGTTTTTGTTGTCGCCGAGGCCGGAAGAGCCGCGGGAGCCGGGTCCCTGTCCCCGGCCGGGCGCCGCCGCCGCCCCCTGCCCAGCGCCCGCGTCGCCGCGGCGCCCCCCCAGCGCCAATATTCCAGAGATCAAGCGTTACGCGGCGGCGGGGCCCGGAGCGGGAGGCACCGGGGACCGGGGCGAGGCGGCCCCCGCCACCGCCATGGAGGCGCTGGGACCCGGTGAGGAGCGCGCTCGGGCCGGGGCCGGGATCGGACCCGGCACCCGGGACGGACGGGCGGGCGGGACCCTAGCTGCACCGCCGCCCTCGCCTGCCTCCGCGTGCCCAGGTTCGGGCCACCAGGCCTTGGGAAAGGGGACCCCCGCCTGCCTGCCCTGGGCGGAGGGGGCCGCGACCTGAACCTCGGGGGGCGGGGACCGCGCCCCAGCCTGCAGACTTGGGCCGGATATCGAGGTCTAGGGGAGGGAGGGAGACCAGGAAGGTGCCCTGTTTCTCGGGGTACTGGGGAGACCTGACACAAACCTACATGATCTGGGGCCTCAGGGTCGCAGTGAGGCTAGCTCTGCCTCTGGAGGGATGATCTGTACCTGCCTAGTCCACGCGGCCCAGGCCAGGGAGGAATCTTTACCTACTACCAGGGGTATTCTTGGGTTTGGGTTTGGGCCGCACCCTTACTATTCTTTGTACTGACAGATGGTCCACAGCCCTCAGATGAGGAAGGAGAACTTCCCCAAGACATCTCCCAGGACTCCTGAAGGCCAAAGTCAAAATATCTACCCTTTCTCAGAAGCCTGGAAGTATATGGCCTCTGTCAGTGCTGTGTCTGGGCGGCCCTTTCGAGACAGGGGAATTACCTGCCTGTCAGCTCCAGCACAGGCCGCAGTGCCCTAAGTTCTCTTCTAATTGGGTTATGCATGGTTTAAGGCTCAAATAAAGTAGAAAGTGTTTTGGAAACTAACGGGTGGATATAGATGGCCTGTAGTTATTACTTTCAGTAGGCCCAAACTAAAAGAAGAATTCCAGCATGTCAGAATGTCCCGCTGGTGCTCCCCCCTCAAACCCCGGGCAGGTTTCCTTTCTAATGCTTTGGCTAAGTAGGGCAGGGTTTAGGTGCAGTGATGGAATTAAGTTTAATATTCAATCCTTAAAATTGGTAGAGGACATAGCTGTAAAGTTTTTCATTTGTTGGTGCGTAGAAAATTAGGCTTACCTTTTGAGTTTGGAAACTTCTCAGGTTTGATTACTTAAAATTTGTTTGCTTAAGTTTGTGATTAAGCCACATCTTTTTTTTTTTTTTTTTATCGGCACCAGGGATCGAACTCAGGACTGCCTGCTCACAAGGCAGGCACTTATGCCTCTGAGCTAAATCCCCAGCCCCAATTAAGCCACATCTTGACTTTCTGCTTAGAGTTTAAATTGTTTCTTGTTTGTTTTTGCCTTTTGGTTTTTGTTTTTTTGAGACAGAGTCGTGCTATGTAGCCCAGACTGGCGTTGAATTTGTCAGATCCTCCTGTCTCAGCCTCCAGAGTGGTGAGATTACTGCATAGGCACGGGCCATTACTTCCAGCGAGTTTAAGTTTCTTTTTATGTATGTATTTATTTATGGGGGGAGTACCAGGAATTGAATTCAGGGCCTCAGGCTTGCCAGGCAAAGTTTAAAGACTCTCATAATCAGGGGCCAGGGATTTAGCTCAGTGGCATAAGCACCTGCCTGCAAGCATAAGGTCATGAGTTTCATCCCTGGTACAAAAACAAACAAAACCTCATAATCAAAGGTTACATCCCTTTAAAAAATAAGTTGGTTTGTCACATTAGTATCCTTTGATGTGTTGTGTTATTTCATATTATGCCCCCCCCCCACCAGCTAAAAGGATGATCAGGGCTTTAGGAATGTAACAGGCCTGTGTCAGAATCTAGTAATTTAATAGTTTTATAATCCTTGGCAAATTACTTAATTCCTTTGAACTTCCATTTCCTCATATATAAAACAAGGATAATAATAATTATGTGCTGCGGTATTATTCTGAGAATGAAATGAGATCATGTATGTGAGAAGTCTTATTTGTAGACTAAGATGTTAGAGATACTCAACAAATGTGTCTTCCCTCTCCCCCATGAGTAACTCACAATTAAAACAACTGTTGCATTTATGAGCTGGTATGGAAAGAAAACCATGTAACTGTGTAAAAGCTGAGTTTCCCGGAAAGGATCAGCCTGATAAATGTTAGGCATTGCTTAGGGACTCCTGCTTCCCATTTCTGAGCCACTCTTGGTTTAGTTTCAGCTTTTGCAGGTTTAAGGACTTACCTGTTCACCCAGGATTGTTGAGATTGTTAACTCTCACTAACCACATTTATATGACACTATGATTAAGCCAGAATGTCATGTAGCTCTCTGTTGAGTGTAATATTTTCCTTTCTGCTAAGAAACTTTTTTTTTTTTTTTGATGTTGCTGTAACTTGAAAACCTAATTAATAACAAGAAGCTGCTTGTGGAGCATGGAATCAGAATAAAGGGAGTCGATAATCTTCTGGGATGTTTCCTCCAGGGTATTCTAGAACAAATACTCCAACAATTACTGATTTTTTTTTAACCCTCCCCCAATTACTGATTATTAATCCTTAGTTTGACTTTGTTTAGGTCCTCTGTGTTTCCTTTTGGGAAAATGTAATTTCCTAGATTTTTTTTTTGTACTAAGGATCAAACTCATGACTTTGTGCTGCCTTTTTGTACTAAGGATCAAACTCATGACTTTTTTAAAAATATGGAATGCTTCACGAATTTGCGTTTCATCCTTGTGCAGGGGCCATGCTAATTTCTGTATCGTTCCAGTTTTAGTGTATGTGCTGCCGAAGCGAGCACTACCTCCCATTTCTTATCTTTCTTTTTTTTTTTTGTATCATGACCATGCATTTGCAAGGCAGGCGCTTATGCTGCTGAGCTGAATCCCCGGCCTTGATTTTATTTTGAGACAAGGTCTTGCTAAGTTTTTAAGTTGCCCAGGCTAGGGTCAAATTTGCAGTTTTCCTGCCTCACCCTCTCAGGCAAGTACCACCATGCATAGCTCTCTTAATCCTTTCAGTTTCTCTGCCACTGTTCTTTGACATGATTACTTCAGAGAGACATAGAACATAGGATTGTGAAGTATACTGAGGAAAAGAATGCATTGGACTGGGCGTGAGGAGACCTGAATTCTAGTTACTATGTAAAATCCAGTTCGTAGGCAAGTCACTTGATTCAAGTTTCTATTTCCAGATTTCTATTATACTATATTTATTTATTTTTGGCAGTACTAATGGTTGAGGCCAGGGCCTCATGAATGCTAAGCAAGCATTCTACCACTGAGTTTTATCTCCAGCTCTCCAAATTTCTTTCTTTCTTTTTTTTTTTTTTGTCTTTTTTTTGAGATGGGGCCTCGCTATGCAGTCCAGGCTGGCCTTGAGCTCACTTTGTAGCCCAGGCTGGCCTCGAACTCACAATGATCCTCCCACTTCAGCCTCCCAAGTGCTGGGATTACAGGCGTGAGCCACCATGCCCGGCTAACATTTAACTCTTATGACATACCGAATTTGGAATTAGGTGAAGAAATCATGAATGGTAGGTTTATTTCTTATAAGAATTTGTAGTATAGTGGTAAGAGACAAGGTAATTTTCTTATTCTTGTGCTAAGTGCTACACTGCATAGAAAGAGTCTTAGGAATGTAGAAGATGGACCCTTCAGTCAGGGACACTCAGGAAAGGCTTTCTCTAAGAGGTTGTGTCTGAACTGAGCTTTTATTAAGGATAAGTAGAATTTAAAAGAATAAACAATTCGACATGTGAAAGGATTTTCAATATTTTATTTGTATATAGTGGTGTGATTTGCCAACACAAATTTCATTAAAATACTTGCTTTCATTTTCTAAGTGATGTTGAACCAGAGTAGCTTATTGTTTTAAAACTTTCTTTTCTTAGTGAATTGTCTTTGTTCTCACTGAAATGGTATTATAGTCAGAGCAGTTGTAACTTTCCATTGTAACTGGAACCTGCTTGGCTCAACACCTATTCATAGCAGAAAATATGTTTATTTTTTAGGCTTGTGTCCACTTGATAGTCTCATCAAAGGCAAAGGCAGCAAAGGTTTCTCTTGACAATTCTCTTTCAGAATGTTCAGTTTTAAGAGAGAAAGCCAGAAAGATAAACACTTCTGTGGAAAAATAAGTTGGGTAAATGATGAATTCAAGTTAAACAGGTTTTCCAGGCACAGTAGTGCATGGCTCTACTGTAATCTTAGCTACTTGGAAGGCTGAGACAGGTAAATTGTGAGTTCAGATCTAAGCAATCTGGGCAATTCAGTAAGATCTTGTCTCTTAAAAAAATAAAAAGTGCTGGGATGTGATTCAGTAGTAGAACATCTGTGGATTTGGTCTCTAGTACCAGAAAGAAAAAAATTAGCTGCCTATAATCTCAGCACTTGGGAAGTTGAGGCAGGAGGATTGTGAGTTTGAGACCAGCCTAAGACCAGCATGGGCTACATAATAAATTCAAGGCTAGCCTGAACTACACAGAAGGACTCAACTCAAAAATAAATAAATAAATAAACAAAAGAAAAAAAGAAAGTTAAATGGGTTTATTTGTTGTGTGACTTTTTAAAGAATTAAATAGGATAGCTGTCATTGGAATTTTAAGAAGAGAATATTTTCTTTATCTTATGGAGTCCTTTCTTTTTGTGAATCATCACTGAAATAATTTGAAGAGGCTATTCTGCCTAGACTGGGATTTCTCAAGCTGGCCACTATTGATAATGTGAACTGGATCACTCTTATCCAACTAGATACTAGTAGAATCATCAAGTAGTGGCCAAAAATAAATAAACAAAAGTCTCTAGAGCTTTGTCAAATGTTCAAAGTAAGAAGCACTAGTCTTGTTGGGCATGGTGGCACACACCTATAATCCCAGCACTCAAAAGGCTGAGGCAGAAAGATCATCATGAGTTTGAGGCTAATCTGGGCTATTTAGTTCAAGCAATATAAACTATATAGGGTGACCTTGACTCCAAAAAAAAAAAAAAAAAAAAAATGAAGAAGCAACACTGGTATACACTATAAATTCTTTGAGAACAGGGCCTTCATCTTCTTCCTGAGTCCATTTAACCACAAAAGGAATGAATCTGTTTGCTGAGTAAATAAACTAAACCTTATGAGAAAAACTCAGGTTGTCCCAATTCTAAAAGTATCACATTACTGATTAGAAGTTATGGCACTGTCTGTATTGTTTTAGTATCAAAATTAATGAACTAATCAGCATAGAATCTATTTAACCTCGTCTTTACAATCTATAGTAAATCAGGCTAATTTGTAGGAAATTATAGGTTATCTCCAATTAAGGGGTAGTGGCTGCCAGAGTTTAGATGTTCTTGTTTTATTTATTTACTTTTTTTTTCTGTGGTATTTCAAGTCTGTAGTCTCTCACATGCTAGGTAAGGACTTTTCCACTGAGCTACGCTTTTTTCTGTATTTTTTTTTCCTGGATTTATTTATTTATTTATTTGTTTGTTTATTTATTATCAGTACTGGGGATTGAACACACAGTTGTGCCCTTGCAAGGCAGGCGCTTATGCCACTGAGCTAAATCCCCAGCCCCTTCCTGTTTTTTTTTTTAAATGCATATAATTTTGTTAGCCTTTTTATTGAGTCACTAGTGATCATGAACTGTGTTATACCCAGCCTACCCTAGAGAGGAAGTTATACTGTCTAATTTTGATGTACTTTATATTTGAAATAATAGCAACATCACACAATACTTAGAAATCTAGAGAATTTAAGTCAGTAGATACACTACACTCTATATCAAAGTATGTTCAGTAAATTATAAGATTTTAGTAATTCCAGCTATCACCATCATCCTCATTGTGAAGGACTATTCTCCTTAATGACCAAATAGTGCAACAAATCTCTTTTGATCTCTTTAGGGCCTCCAGCCAGCCTCTTTCAGCCTCCCCGTCGCCCTGGCCTTGGAACTGTTGGAAAACCAATTCGACTGTTAGCCAATCATTTTCAGGTTCAGATCCCTAAAATAGAGGTGTATCATTATGATGTGGACATTAAACCAGAAAAACGGCCTCGTAGAGTCAACAGGTAAGCATTAGAAAAAAAAAAAAAATCTACGTTTATACCTATATATGCACATAATTTATCACAAATCATATTATTGTTTTCTGAGTGCTTTCAACATGTAGGCTTGTTTTTTATCTGCAAGGTTAAGTTTCTTATGTGATTATCCTAGCAGAGTGCCAGATGGATCATTGGCCAATCAGTAAGTCTGTACTCAATTAAATAGTGAGGTTACCTGTTGACCAACAATAGCAGAAATTTGTAAAAATATATGTAGACATTATTGTCTATGGGAGATAGAACTGGATATTTTTCTTTGCATTGAGCTATATCCCAGCTGTTAAAAAAAAATTTTTTGGGGGGTTGTCTCAGTAAGTTGCCCTGTTATTCAGAGTAGGCTCAAATTTGCCAAACACCTGCCTCAGCCTCTCCGAGTGCTGGGATTACAGCATATACTACCATGCCTGGGTATGAAAATTCTGGTTTTATTATTAAGTGCAGGTGTTGAATATAAGAACTATAAAGACAGAAGGATTATCTTGGAGTTTTGAGAAAAGTAAGTCCAGAGAAAAGCTTTCTTTATTTCCAGCATTGTCAGGAGGGATTCTGATGAGATAAATTTGGGAGTTGGTAGAGCAGAAATTTAACAACAGTGAGTGTTTTCTTTCTGTTTCTATGCAGTAATAGTGAATTTTTTTTTAAAATAATGAATCTTTTAAATTTTTATTTATTTAAAATTTCCTAAGGAGCAATGAACTATATCTCCAGACGTTTTTATTTTTATTTTGAGACTGGGTCTTGCTGAGTTGCCCAGGTTGACCTCAAACTTGTGACATTCCTGCCTTAGCCCCTCATGTAGCCAAGGTTACAGGTGTACACCACCATGCCACTGGGCCAGTCATTGATACTAAGATTCATCCTTTTCTAAGAATGCTTTTGCTGTCAGATGAAATATTTTGTACTTTATTTTCTCACTGTAGGTTATCAATTTGACTTTTGTACACTTGTATTTATTTTCCATGGTATAACTGAGATAATTATAGTAAAAGTAGAGAAGATGGTTAACTCATCAATTCGATGAGGCGTGCCTGTAATTCCAGCACTTGGGAGGCTGAGGCAGGAGGATCCCAAGCTCAATCCCAGCTTGGGCAATTTAGTGATTTAGCAAGACACTGTCTTAAAATATAAAATACAAAAAAGGGGATAGGCCGGGAATATTGTTAAATGGGAAGATTCTGTGTTTAAATACCAGTACCACAAAACCGAACAAAACATCTCAGTCAATTCAACAGATATTGTATTGAGTGCTTCCTGTCTGTCAGGTTCTGTGCTGTGAGAATATAACATAAACAAAACAGATAAAAGTTCCTGTTCTTGTCTTGTGGCTAGAACCACCATCTTCCAATAATTCACCAAAATGCTGGACACAAATGAGGAGAGGAAAGGGAGCTGATGTATGTTCTCTAGGCTATTTAGAAACTTAGAATTATCCTTTGGCCACCGCATACATGTGAATTTATAGGAGAAGTGATAATTGTACATGTGAAGGGAATGGGTACTGTTCTGAAAGAAACATCTCAGAAATTTTACCAGGGCAGAATTGGAAGAGTCTACACTGTTTTACCCAGCATGCAGTTGGCATTGTTGTAAACAAACAAGTTCCTTAACTTGAAAGTCTTGCCAAGAGAATTGTGTGACTGTTGAGCATATTAAGTACTCTAAGAACAGAGATAGCTACTTGAAATGTGTAAAGGAAAATAATCAGAAAAA